AGAAGCCCCCTCTGGAGGAATCGATGTGGAAGGTGTATTAGAAGCCCAAGGGCTTCTATTACGTCGGAAAAATAATTTCAATTTTTTAAACGACACATTTGATCGACATGCGTTTTTTTACTTTAATCGTTCTTGTGTGATGTCGTGTGTAAAAAAAGGAAACGAATAAAATTTACATGTTTTATCTCGAAAAAGATTTTTTTCAGATTAATTGAGATTACCGTGATTAGAAAGGCAAGAGCATCGAAATTCAAAATCTCCTTTTTTTCTGCAAATTTTTGTACGAAAGTCGTAATAGTAGCCCCTTCATAATACAAGCCCCCCCCTAAAAATTTTGAACACTTGGACAGTTTAGAAGCCCCGGAGGCTTCTATTATAGAGGGTGGTTTAGTAAATTAGCATACATTCACTTATCTAGAGTTAAATCTAATGCTTATAAAAGACAGTTAATTAGCTAGACGACATAGTGTATTAATTATCTCGATCCATGACGACAGTGAAACAGATATATTTATCATAGAAAAAATGCTAATAAAAGAAATGATTATAGAACTTATAGAATCTTTTCTAAAATTTTGCAATTTCTTTTAACTTATATAGAAAATAATGATCAACAAGCTAAAAGTTCAAGATTAAAGTTTTCATAATTGAATCATATTGTATTTATAAAACATTATATATCTACAAATATTTCTAATAAAAAAAAAAGGTTTATTAAATCTAATAGAAATTTTATATTTTCTTCTATTATTATTATGCTTGAAATAAATATGTAACATTACATAAATTCTTTTAAGAAATATTATTTAAAAAATACTTTTTTCTTTGTAAGTTCAAATGAGCTTTTAGCTGTATCATAAATAGACGAATGAGGATGTTGTGAACCACATTCTCCATTGCATACTTGTGCAGTAACATTGTAAGTACCTAATGGCCAATTATCACAAACTTCTATAAACAAAATATAAAATCAAATCATTCATTTACTAAAACAAATAAATATCTACATACCTTTTGAAGGATCACAATCAAATTCAAATAATGTTTGAAGACCAATTTTTTCTGGGTATATACCAGGTTTTCGGGCTTCGAACCAAAAAAGATCACCAGAAGATCGATTTTTAGGATCAACAATTTCAATATTAATTGTACCGGTACCAGTACCATTAATACTAATAAAAGAACAGTCAATTACAAATTTTGAACCATCAGGTGCACTTTTTGGTGTAACACCAAAATTTGTAAATTTAGCATCACCATGATCGTTAACTAAAGAAATATATTTATAAATTTTACAAGAATAATAATATGAATTTTTCTTACTTGGACAAAGATCAATTATTTCACAATACCAAATAGGATCAAGATCAACTTTAATAATTATTTTGATAAATTCGTCAATACCTGCTGCGTCACATACAACAGTACAAAATTCACCAATAATTACAGAACCAGTTATATTGGCAAGAGCTCCACATAGTGCATTACAGGATTCTATAATTCCCTCATCAAGAATCAAATTGAGCAAAATGTTGATCATTTCTACAGATTCTTCAATACATTCTGGACAGACATCAAGACCAACTTTTGGTTGACCAAAACTTGAACTAAGACGTTGAAGTTTTTTTGGTTGAATATTAAATGAGCGTGAGGCATACGTAGCCCCAATAATAACGAGAATAATCAGTGTAACAGCCTTGTACATTGTTTTATTGTCACCTTTAACACTACAGTGAAGAAAATTAATACAAAATGCACGTCTCATAAATACATTTTCTATGAGAAACGAACAAGCTGTCTAAAGTGGTTGAGACCATGCACCATCAGTATTCACACTACACAATCGGTGAAAAATTTTCACACAACTTATATATTGTTTTCCTTGCTTTTATGATCAGTGCATTGTTTTTTTTCTTTCAAAAGTACAACGGAAAACTAAAAACATATTCATCATTTAGCAACCATTTGCCGTCCACTGTTGGACGAAGGTCTCTTCCGTGGTTTTCCATTTTCCTCTATTTTGTGCTACAGTGCTCCAGTCGTTTCCCAGGAATGAATGAATTTCATCTCTCCATCTCGTGGTTTGTCTTCCACGTTTTCTTTTCCCATCCATTATTTGCCATTCTGTGTTGAGCTTGGTCCATCTATTGTCTTGTTGTCTAGCAACATGTCCTGTCCATCTCCACTTGTTTCTTTTTATTGTTCTTGTTATGTCGATAATTTTCGTTTGTTTTCTGATGTTTTCATTTCTAATTTTATCTATTTTTCTTATGTTCAGCATGCTTCTTTCCATTCCTCGTTGACTGATTGCAAGTTTTTTCTCTAATCTTTGTGTCGTATTCCATGTCTCTGAACCATATGTCATTACTGGAAGTACGCATTGATCGAACGCTTTCTTTTTTAGACATAGAGGAATGTCGGCTTTAAATATTTTGTTCAATTTTCCAAACTGTCTCCAACCTTGTGATATTCTTCTGTTTATTTCTGTTTCAATATTTCTATCTGTTCCTACTATTTGACCTAAATAGATGAAATTATTGATTTTTTCAATTTCTTGATTGTTCAGTTGGATTTTTCTATCATCTTTTATATGATTATTGATCATAACTTTTGTTTTATCGATATTGATGTTTAGGCCAGATTTTATACTTTCTTTTTGAAGTTCTTTCGCCATCGTTTGTAAGTTTTCCAAGTTGTTTGCGAAGAGAATAATATCATCGGCAAATTTTAGGTTATTTAGGTATTCTCCACAAATTTTGATTCCCTTTTCTTCCCAGTTTAGTCGTCTGAATATATCTTCGAGATAAGCAATGAAAAGAATCGGAGACATTGTATCACCTTGTCTTATTCCTCTATTTATGTTTATATCGATTTTGTTGTTATGAAGGTATATAGAAGTCGTAGCATTATCGTATATATGAGTCGATTGCAACTTTTTTGTACAATGACATTTTTGAAGTATTTTTGCTGCTAACACCGTTGTTGTGCATGGATATTCAAAGTTTTTTTTTATTCTCTATCTCAGACCCTAGCCACACTACCATAAAAATTTCGTAACAATATGCCGTCAACTAACTGAGTTACGTGGGTCAAAAGTGAAAAATACCCGATTTTTCGATGAGTCATCGACCGAAAAATAGATTTTCTAAAGGAAAGAAAGAACGATATCAAAAAAGTAAATAGTACGGTTTGTAGAGCTTTCAATTCTCTATCTGATTTCGCCATTCACTTTTGAGTTTGTTTACTTCTGAGTGTCCCTTCAGGTTCAAAGTCCTTTTACACTCAAAGTGTAAGGTCAGATTAGAACTGCTACTATTATATATCGTTCGACTCCTCACGAAGTTCATGACACTCTTTTTGAAGCTGTCCAGATCTGTTCAGCGGTGTGTCATATATGTGCAAAAAGACCGATTTCGATATATTGCTTAGGATAAACTCCTTAGAAGCGTAGTCGTAATTCTGCGTCTCGTTTATCTCAGCTTTCTGAGGTGTAGTAGCCGGAAAATTTTCACCACAGAGTCAATGAATGATGGGCAACACAATGCACCTTCTAGATTTTCAATAAGACCACTTTCATTTTCTTTTATCAATTGTACAAAAAAGTTGCAATTGACTCATATATTTAATTAGATCAATGTATTGCCTTTCGATATGTTGATTTTCTAAGGCTTCAATGATCGCTGGTTTTTCTAGAGTGTCGAATGCCTTTTCAAAGCCGATGAATGCCATGCATAATGGTAGATTGAATTCTTTTGTTTTTTCCAGGATTTGGTTTAGAGTGTGAATATGGTCTATTGTCGAGAAACCTTTTTTGAATCCCGCTTGTTCTCTATCTTCTACCTTTTCTAATTTTTTCTTTAATCTGTTGGTTAAGATTTTGGTAAATAGTTTATAGAGATGCGAGAGAAGACTAATTGGTCTACAATTTTTTAGATCAGTGCGATCTCCTTTCTTGTATATAAGGATGGTGTTTGCATTATTCCATTCTTGTGGTATTTTCTTTTCTTTTAAGCATCTGTTAAAAAGTATTTGAATGGTTTTTAGGACAGTTAGTCCTCCATTTTTTATCATGTCAGTAGTTATACTGTCTGGACCTGGAGCCTTATTGTTGGGCATGGATTTAAGTGCCATTTCTATTTCTCCTAGTATTATATCAGGAATATCATCTTCATGGTCATAGTTATTTTGTGATATATTTATCGTGTTTGTTATTTTTGTGTCGTATATGTCTTCATAGAATTCTTTGATTCTATTATTCATTTGATGTCTATCATGTAGGATATTTCCATTTTTATCTTTTAAGGAAATTATTTGGTTTTGCCCCGATGACATATTTTTAAAAGTTCTTTTTAAGCTTTTATTACTTTCAATTGTGTTTTGAATTATTTTTGTGTTATGATTTCTTTTTTCTATTTGTAAGTTTTTCTTTATCGTTTTGTTTAGTTCTACGAACTCTATATGATTTGTATTGGCATTTAATTTTGCTCTTTTTTCAATTAGTTTTTGTGTTGTATGAGATATTTTAAAACTATTTGATTTACTATTTGGTTCTTTTGCAAGTTTTCCTGCAGTATTAACAATTATTTTTGTTAGAGTTTCATTTATTTCATCAATATTCATTTCTTTGAAAAACATATTATTAAACTCAAAATGTCGTTGTACAAAAAATATAGGTAGGAAGGAGAACATGTATATTACTTTTCTGCTTTATATGTTTTAATGATTTTTTTTCAGATGTGCCTGGTTGAACGTTTAAAATAAAAATAAAAAATTATTATCTTTAAACGGATGAATGCCTTCAAAAAGAGATTACATTTGACGCAGAGTACAACTGGTAGAGTATTGGGTTCTTAGAGAGACAAGCGCTATCCGTAGCTCACAAGAATCTAGCTATTTTACATTTTTTTGCAGAAATATAGCAGAAATATTTTTAAAACGGAAAGTGGAAATTTTGCACAAAATGTTCGAAATATTGCCGCTGCCTTGCTCTCGTATGTGCTCTCTTGCCTATCGCTAATAATACGCGTGTTAATAGGAAGAGAAAATAAACATTTAAATACAAAACGAAGAAAGGGTAAAATCTCTAGCGTAAAATAATGAATAAACATAAATATAAAAAGTACACTTGGCAAAAATTCATTTTAGCTATGTACTGTCTGTAAAACATCACATTAATACTAAAGTGCTATTACCAAAATAGCAACGTCCGATAGTTAATCACGCAGAAGGAGTGCAAAAGGTGATAAAAAATATATTAGCAATTATTAAAATTTTTATCTGAGTGAAAGTTTTTATCTACATGCAAAAACAATTAGCAGAACTAATAGACATTTTAAATCAAAAAGCTGAAGCCTGTTTATATTATAGCACTTAACCATAGTTAATGAACCTGGCGTTTATGGGTTTCAAATCACGGCCTTTCTAGTGGGATCTTGAAAAGGTTTGAGAAAATCGGAACGTAGGACTTACAGAAAAACATGGTTTCTCGGAGCTCCTTTTTGGTAAATCTTTTTCCCGATTATTTGTAAGTTAAAAATTTTTTCAATAACTATATCTTGTAGGGAAATGTTTCTGCAACATTTTAAATAAAGTATTATCAGAATCTCTTTCTTTATTATTGAATCGAAATAAGGTGTCTCTCAGCTCTCTGTCATGTTTTCTGATACAGTTATGATCATTTTGGATGCTACATCACAAATGTGACGTTTTCGACGGCTTCCAGCAAAATGATCATAATTCTAAGATAAAAGGTGATGGAGAGCTGCGAAACAGGTGTGCCATAATGAACTGGACTAAATATTACTGCATTTTTGTCGTATTTCCTCTCCAAATAAGACCTTTCTCTAAATATCAAAAGATAGAGACTTTCACGCTCTACAACACCTACTATTTGAATCTCTGAGATCATTTTTCTGGTTTGCGCACCATCCAAAATATTGAAGGATGCTGAGTTGTCGAACTGCGCCACACTGAAAACAGAAAAATATTTGCTTCATCCAAAAACAGATTCTATGAGAAGTTTGAAAACATCAGAAAATTCATCCGAAAATTCTTCAAGGAAGAAGATCAATTTCTAGTGAAGAAACCATGGTCTTAAGGAAAAAAGATGAACATCTCATCTGGCACGCAAATGGATATAGTTGAAAGCTTCGAAATATTTCGGTGAGTATAAATTCATGCGATTATATAGAAATATAAAAAAGCACACGTTACGAAAAAAGATGAAGGTGTCTTGAACAAACATCAAGTTCTGCATGGAAAATGATCACGTTCCGGAGCAGAAACACCAAGTTCTTCTGGGAAAAACATGATGTTCTCTTGAACAAACACCAAGTTGTTCATGGAGGAAAGACGAAGTTCTCGTGCAGAAATACCATTTCTTTTTAAAAAAATTGATGAAGTTCTGGTGAAGAAACACAAAGTTCTTTAGAAAAAAGATGAATGTTCTCCGTCATAACTATAGCGGTAGGTCAACGTCCATGTGCGTTGCTCATGTGAAAGAGATATCGTCGCAGCTTTGAAGTGTTTCAGTCTCTCTATCGACTGCAAAAATAAAATTTCTTTTTTTGGCTTTCGAAGTTGGACAAAACGTTTTTCTAGCGAGTTTTCCCAAAAGGTGTCTTCAGTATAGCGCGTTTCTACTTTTTCCCACAATGCAACGGAATTTTTAACATATGTTATTCTATATATTAACTGTCAGCACAGTTAGCGAAAACTAGCGAAACGTTTGCTTTCATGGATTATAGGCTTTTCAGGTAAAAAGTAGTTTTCTTCGTTCAGACGCACTCGTCACAACAATTTATGCATAATCGGACTCAGCGTGAAAAACTGCGTCGAATGGTATATAATTCAGGTGATCTAAGACGCCTATTTTTGAACTTGATTGATTTTTGAGATTTTAACATGAGCAGATAGAATTTTTAGTCCGAATATTAAAAATTCAAGACAGCAAAACACGAATGTATCTAGAGTAATTTTTTGTAGGTTTTTGACGATGCTCTATCCAACGAAGTAGTTTTTGAATTCTACAAAAGTGTTCTACGTGGTTTTCCAGACGTCGGATCTCTAGAAAACCTCTTGAAAATCTTTTTCAAAACTCAAAAACCATTCTATTGGAAAGAGCACACACGATAACATATAGGAAAACGGTTCAAAAAAGTTTAGACCACTTAAAAATAACATGTCTACTTGATGAGCGAAAATTGCCTACTGTGAAACGGTTTTGTAGAGCAAACCAAGTTCTATGTACTAATATAATACATGCCTTTCTCTGTCAAGTAATAGTCAAGATTTCATTTAAAAAAGGTTTACTTGTTGATTAAGCAGGGATATGATTAGTAAATCAGCCTCAGCCAATAAACGATAAGCCTATGGATCCTGATATTTTGGTTTGCGAATGACACAATTTGTGCTATACTCATGTATAGTTGAATCCAAAATCTAATATTTATCATACTATCATCTTTTTTCTTCGCTTTCAGATCCATCGCTCAATGCATACTATTTAGACAAATTCGTTTGAAATTTAGGAACGCTTATTAGTTGAGGTGTAACGTCAAATTGGTTTGACAAATCGAAAGCGGTCACGTTCGGTGAAAGGCCCGTAATTTTGACACGCCATCTGTTTGTAGTTGCATGTGACATCATATTTTTCTAGTGTAACAAAAGTCGACAAATGATTCCAGTTTATAAAGAGTGTGTTTCTCCGGAAAAAATCTTCATTGACTCTCTAAAGGCCTATTAAGTATGTATGAACTACTCAATAGACACAGAAGAAGAAAGAATGAAAAACAGAAAAATTACAGCAGCAAAAACAACAAATGAAAAGGTGGAAGGGAGTCTGTCTGTGTTTGCTTTACGTCACTTGAAATGTGTTGATGTTGATTCAACACGTTGTGCTGCACAAATATTCTTCTTTTTCTTTACTGATATTTATTGCCGAGATGGTGGTCATCATTTCTGAATAAATTTATACTTTTGACTGATTTTGGCAGTAGACTTTATTTATTGGATGTAGGTGCCGAATGTTCCATGCAGCAGCTTGTACTATCTATGGCCTTTGATCAAGGAGGCATGTATAGTTGTACGTGTTATGAAGATACGTTGCTCGTAAACGGTGACGATACTGCTGATGTATATAAATCGTTGAAGTATATAAAATGACTCATTGGAAATTAATTAAAACATACAAACCGCCTGTATCCTGTAAAAAAAACCAAGCAATTTGACAAATTAGATTTAACAGCAGTGGAACGCATCTCGGTGTGCTTCTGAATAGCGTTCCCTTCATCAAAATAACTGGTTTGAATTACGTAATTCTTCTGATATGACAGTATTACAAACTGTTAAGTTTGGTGATGAGCCTCAGAGCGGTCTTATTTCACTACCTAATAAACAGTTTTTGGTCAATTCATTGAATTTCAGCATGCTGTATCTAATCGACTCAGACGGTCAAATACAACAAAACATTCGATACTATTCAAATGTAATAAGAATAAAATCCACAGCATTTATCAGTGTTAAAAACCGTCTTATTATACAAACAGAGAAGCCAGACGAACTTCGTTTCTACGATTTATAATTACAACCTACTCATTTTTAAGATCGTTCTGAACTATCAGCATTCGTTTCTTTGTTCCTGGATACATTTTACGGATTGGTAAGCGGCTTGTCGAACGATCCCTGTTTCAGGACCCCGAGTGTATCTCGATATGCCTAGAACAGCAGCGTGATCCAGAACATTGATAGATTAAATGATATTTGGAGTTAACGTCATTTGTAGACGCTTCTAAATGGGAACGGATGGAGAAATTTCACTAGAGATAGGAACATATAAGCAATCCTATGAAATTCCTATTCAAGAATTATCTTTTCCTACTAAAATCCTAAACAATTCATGCTGCATTATGATTCAGTCATCGCATTCTGTTAGGATCCTAACAGAATCCTAGCAAATCCTACGCACTTTCCGGTATATCTGATTTCTGTAGGACTCTGTGAGATGTTCCTAGGATCCTACCAAAAGATCAGCTAAATCCTGGCCGGATTTTGAGAAATCCGGCCAGGATTTTGTCAAGAAATGTGTAGGTTTCTTACTGGGGGACAACCTCCCCCGTTTCCAGCAATGTGCTCAATCAAGAAACGGAAAAAATAATTGAAGTTTGGTTTGGCAGTTAGACACAGAAGAGCAATAGTTCTGATCAAAACAAAGCAGACTCGACCAAAAAGTTTTTATTCTGATGAAGTTATGGGGCTTTTACTGGAAGCACTAGGGTGAACACGGAAAATAACATGTTCATACAAGGTGTAGTTGGAGAGGGACCGGTGGTAGGTGGCGTTCAGAAAAGATGAGAGTGCCGCGACTATCGGATGGTTGTTCACCAGTTCTTCCAGACGATTTGATCGATCAAAGTTTTTCGAGATACTTCTCCTAGCACTTCTTTCACATTTTAGGTGTGTATTACATAATGATTCTCCATTTACCTGTGTATCTTTCCGATCTTTGGAGCGCACCTTTTCGCACACTGAATTTAGCTGTATGTGTCGAAGGCTTGGTCTTGAGGACATTCTGCTCTATAAGTGATGAATAACTCGTCGAATCCAAGTAAGCTGAGTCTTCTATGAGTGAAGAAGAGCACAACAGAAACTTCGGTGAAGTATTCTAAAGAAAGGGTGTTTCTGCTAAAGCA